TTTTTATTAGAGAGTTCACAGGAGTTCGCCGGGCCATTGGTTATTCATTGATGTTCATTTTAGACGTGGTGAGAGTGGGAATACAAAACAAATACAGTTGGCTCACCTACACCAACAACTATTATATTATGATTTGGGTGCATGTTTAACACATGGTTTGGTTTTATATGGAATCAGGTAGATTCGGCCCGACGCATGCAGTCATTAATAAAGCGATCAAGGATCAGAGCAAAACACATATTTATAAACAATAAATCAAACTTGTTTGCTGCTGGGTCGTGTATGCCGAGCAATATTCATTAAAAATATGTGCAAAGATTTAAATATAAATCAAATTATATTCATAAAACCATATTTTGATTCTTGAAACCTCTATTTCTACTACAAATCTCAATTTTTAAATTTAAAACCTCGTTTATATTAGTTTGTATTTGTATAGATCAAATTATATTCGTGAAACCGTTATTTCTATTTGTATTAGGAATCTCTATTTATATGTAGAAACACATTTGTCTTTTCATCATTATTACTATAATGATACTACAGTTATGAAACTCGACTGCCGTAAAATCGCAGTCAATGCTAAAATTGCTAGATTGGTACCCAACGTTTACATACCTAAATGTCTGAACAATCAGGAAGCATTTAATAGGACATTACAGGAAATTAAACCGCAATGTATGCAGGACAGGATATAATATAACACGAACCCCGCAGACAGGCAGTATAGAGTTGTAGTGTAGACACTTGTGTTAAACACCCGTGCACAAAGCGCTTTTGAGGGTATTTGGTAACACGCTATCATTACATGGATCCTGGACGAAAATTCTTAGACGACAGTATTGTAGTATAAGAAGTCGCGTTAAAGTGGTTTGACTCTGCGGGTTAGCACATTATAGGGAGTTTGGCTATCATGCACACACAATAGGATATTGTACAACACAATAACATTATTGGGATTTTAGTCGGAAAGCCATGTGTGATATTTAAGATACCCTTATAGAATAGAGTCTCGTCTGGTAGCAACGGCGGTGCAATGTCGGATATAAACGTTCGAAATAAAATGTAATACATTTGCATAAAATAATAAAGTGTCCGATAACAACAATAAAAAAACATTGTTTAAAAAATGTTTGAACGAACGCTTACACGTTGTAATAGTTGAAGCCATCTGAAACCCTCATCCGTTGTTTTGATTAACTGTCACACAGGCGGGTATTTAACTTTATTGCGTCTATAACAGTAACTGAAGCGGCTAGGCAAGTGTCTGGGCAATTTCTCGGTAATTGCTAACCAGGTTATCGGGCCCGCTGCATTATGACAACATGCATGCAAGCACTCGTTCAAGTGAATTTTAGACACAATCAAACGTAGAATACAGTTTCACGGATACAGCAGAAAATAGTTACTAGCTACTTTGTTTTAATTATTCGGCCTAAATATCTTTATTAGTAAAGTCATCAAGGTCTACATCAAAACAGATCGTTCACACACGTATTTTCTCAGTCAAAACTGTTTATTTATTATATATTTTTAAAGAGCTAAAATATAGGTGAATACATCGAAGATACTGCGTAGTGATTCTGTGTTAAGCAATGGCATTCCCAAGGATAAAATTACATTACACGAATATGCGTCCTGTTGCATTATACTGTGTCTGATTTTAGCACAGAGTTTGAAAAACAGGGATGTGCAACACACATGCAATTCTAGGTATCTTAGTTATAATCCCTTTCTCAATTAATACCTTAAGATAAAAGACAACAAAGCTTATCTCGTCCCATCAGGCAAACGTGGCCGTATATTTAATTAATTAGACAATGAAATATGTTTAAGCACCATGAACAGTGCAGAAGAGTCAGTCACTGTCATTGTATTATTATTATTAACTTTCATGTTTATTGAAGATTCCCAATGCTGGAGACGTTGACGACAAAGCGCAACACAACCGGCACAACAAAGACATGCCTCCAAGAGTATAAAATATTGAATGAGATAGCTCTCACATGGAATATGTATTTATTTCGTGGTGAACTTTTTTGTGGGAGTGTCTATAGCAACAATTGCCACATCCATAGTATTGATTGAGTCAAAAGCATATTGGCTTTTTAGGGATACATAAAGTGAAGCGCCCTTGATCTTCAAATAACCATAATAGACAGAGTGGGTTCAAGACTGTATATACGTGATTCCGGCGTTTCATAATAAATGCTTTTGATGAATAATTGCAGACAATTCATCTCGAGTTACGGTTACGATTTCTGAATGAATACCAGACAGAACCAGATCGCATTGTTTCTTCAAGATAGCAAAATTATTTTTCCCCAACTATCATGTAGATATCTCAAACAACGCCGAATAGCGGTAAGCGTCGTCTTTTTTGTTGTTGCAAATGTTCTACTAAATTCGTTTATTCATTGCTTCAATTATTTTTTACCAAAAATGGCTTTCTGTGTTTACACAGAGATCACGTGACGGTACGCGTCCATACACACACTATCTTGTCGATTTGCTTCGGGTCCTGTTTCCATATTCCATAACGCATGCGTCATCACTGAGGTCAATTGCAACATACGTGTTATGCAAGGTAACGTTCAACATCGTCAATATTTATCAATATAATCAAACCTCATTGATGGTGCTGAACGTTGTGTTTGTATTAGAAGTCTACACGTGAGCGACGCTACCAAATATGTACACAAGCCAACAAGCCACACCAACCCAGTTACGGCTAAGATTGCAAAAGATTTGTACACAATCCCAAACCCATCTCAATCCCCATGTCATAGGCTGTAATATGCAATTACAATTCTGCCCCCCCCCCCATAATCCCCTGTGGCATATTTGTATGTCGCAATAATAAGCACGCTACCAAGACACGTCTATTATTAGACCTGTATTGAAGATAAG